TTTACTTACCAAAATTGACCCTCCCCCCCCCCCCCCCAGATTGGGCATTGCCTTATTTAAAGGCGTTAAGGGTGTTGAGAAAAATCATTCAGAAATACTCCAAATTCGTGATAAATTTTTCTTGTTGTTAAATTCTCAAGCTTTTTCATAATGTCTGAAGAGCGAAAAGTAAGGGTTACATTATATTGGTGGGGGAGGGGGGTGAGGTTTTGGTGGCAAATAACTCAATGAGCTATAATTTATCTCCACGGAGTCATATTAAGTTTTCACTTACAATGGAGTACGATAGACTGGTATCGTTGTTATGCAATAAAATGAGGTTGAGCAAACGTTCGGTGAATCTTAAAATAACCGGAAGATATCCGTATTCTGTGACTCTGCAAGAGGTTGCTTGTTACGCTGAGTTTAACATCGAGGATGATGAAACTCTGAGAGATTTTTTGGGGACTCCGGATGAATACTAGTAACTTATTTTGATAAAAATGTTGGAAATGTACGTGAAGGTTGAAGACGTTCACAATAATGATGTTGCACAAAGCAGGGATAACCCTCAATCATCGGGTGGTTATTCTGGAGCAGTTTAGCCCAACAGGTTCCGGCTGAAAGAGTTTGGCCGGATCTAAACTTATCTCCACGGGCGAACGAGGAGCGAGGAAATAATTTCTCTCCTACTTTACATAATCCACAAGACGACTGGTGAACTTCAATTTTCCTTTGTGTTACGATGTTTATTTTTGTTGTATTGAATTTGTATTAACACTCATATATTTCACAGAAGGCACCGTCCAGATATGAATTTTACAAGTTATGACCCCACGCCCAGTTGGAATATGCGTAGTTTTGGTGTGTTGGATCACGGTGGTCCATCCGGGAGTCATCACCAATAGGGTAATATCCATCATGGAATGTCAACACATTACGACTTGTAAGTGAAGTGATATAACTATATGTAAAGTATTTATCAATTTGAGTAGCTTATCATTTTGTTGTTTGTGTAGTGAAAACGAGCAACTTGATGGTCCTAACCTCACTCAGTTTCCCACAGACGACGTATTTACTCGGGATTTGGCAGATGCGTAGAGTCAGGAAGATAATAGTGATTATGACAACAACGCCGATGAGTCTGGAGATGACACACCCTTCCCTGACGAGGGTTATGATGAGGAGGAAGTGAATGTCGAACCTGAGCTGACGATGGAGCATGCTCCACCTCCTGTTAGACCAAGAGTGTACGAGTCTCACGTGTCGTTTCATTCAAGGCATATTCCCTACCTTGATAATTTGCCAAGTATGCCGGATGTGGATGCCCTCACAAGGGATCTTGACGAAATTCGGTCAGCAATGTGGGATGAGTCTAGACCAACGGTGCTGGCAAAGGGCATATTTTTTCCCGATAAAGCTCGCCTATCCAGGGCTTGTAAAATGTACAGCGTAAGAGAGTGTTGTGAGATGATAGTATGGGAGTCAAGTCCGGAGGTATACAAGGTTGTTTGTCGTAGATGGTTTACGGGTTGTCACTGGATGCTGCGTGCGACCAAGAAGGAAAGAGGATTGTGGAAAGTGGGTAAATATATTGGCACCCATGTTTGTGAAATGGACACATTCGATGGGAATCACTTCAACTTGGATGTCGACTTGATTTCTCTTCAATTGATTCCACACTTGGAAGTGTTCATTAGGTACAAGATCAAAGAGTGTATTACATCTATCCACCAGGAATATGGGTGTACTATTACCAAATAAAGGCATATCTCGGGCGCAAACGTGCCTTTTAAATTGTTTGTGGTGACTGGGATAAGTCATTTGCATCTCTACCCTGGTACATGGACGCACTGAAACACTTTAACCTCGAGACTGTTGTTGAATGGAAGCTTGAGCAGAGTGCAGGAATACCAGAATATATATTCAGATACGTGTTCTGGGCAATTAAACCAGCAATTGATGGTTTTGTGCATTGCCGTCCGGTAATTTCCATAGACGGTACTCATGTCTATGGAAAATATGATATTAAGCTGTTAATCACTGTTGCAGTAGATGCCAATGGACAAATATTTCCACTAGCTTTTGCCATCTGTGCCAATGAAAGCCAAGAGATGTGGACGCTATTTTTGAACCACTTGAAGCAGCACGTTGTCAAACAACGTTCAGGTATTTGTCTAATATCTGATCGGCATGGTGGTATATTAAGTTCTGTAGAGCATTTGCCTGAATGGCAGGAATCCTATGCATACCACCATTACTGTGTGAGGCACCTGAAGGCCAATTTCCAGAAGAAATATCCCAATAAGGACTTGCATGATTTAATGTGGATGGCTGCAACTGATCACCAGCAGTGCAAATTCAGGAGGCGCATGGAATCGATCTAGTAGTTAGACGAAAGTGCCTATAATTGGTTGATGCGACATGAGCTTCACAAGTGGACATTGCATGCTGATGGTGGCAGACGATGGGGAACCCTGACTATAAATGTGTCGGAGTCTTTCAACGGGTTATTGAAGTCTGCACGTGGATTGCCTGTCACTGCCATGGTCCGGATGACATTCAAACAGATGGCGGAGAGGTTTGTTGAAAGGCATAGAGGTGCATCGGAATTAATGGAGAAGGGTGTTGAATTTATGCCAATTCTGATGAAAAGATTTGAGAAATACAGGAGGCTAGCACATTAGCATTCATTTTTACAGTATGATGACGATCGGGGTATTATTGAAGTTCGCACAGCTATTCATCAACACCGGGAGAATAATAGTACACACCATAAATGAAGACAGCAGGTTGTGCTCTTGTGGAAAATGGTCCATCTACCACATGTCCTGCTCACATGCCATGAAGTGCTTTCAACATACAGGTTTAGGGCCAACCAACTATGTTGATAGGCAATACAGTGTTGCTGCATACTTAAACACATATAATGGGCAGTTGCAGCTAGTGGGTGCTGAGCATTATTGGCCGTCGGAACCATTTAAAATGTTGTGTAATAAGATCTATTTGCGCACAAGTGCAAAAGAGAACGCGTATACAGAACCAAATAGATGTTGGTGATACCGTTTATGCGCGTAAATGTGGCATATGCTCGCAAACAAGACACGACTGTCGTAAATGTCCTTCAGCTGGTTTGGGTGGCGTTGGTAATCCAGCTCCTGGTGCAAGTTCATCTAATGTGCCCAACTATCAAGGATACACGTAGTGTTTTGTTTTCGTAATGTTTTTTGTAATAAGTGTATGTACTTATTTATGTCGCAAGATGTATCAAATAAAATTATTTTTCCACAGCCTTGTTATATTTTATTGATATTTAACATTTTTCAGTTGAATAAATTAATGAATTCCCCCCGCCCCCCCCCCCCTCCCCGTTCATGTAATCAAAAATAGTGTTGGATTAAAAAACGGAAAATTTTTACGTTCACTTTCAAGTTTCACTCTAAATTTATTAGAAAACTACACTGTCAGAGGAGGAAGATGTTTGATAAATAAGTGAATATATATAGTGCGGTTAAATACTACGATTTGTGTGTTGTCTTGTTGATCTGAAAAGTTGCCCGACTGCGAAAAAGCTGTTTTGTATCAAAAAAAATTTTAACACGCCAAACATAGCGCGGTTAAATACTACATTTTGTGTGTTATCTTGTCGATCTGAAAAGCTGCCCGACTGCGAAAAAGTTGTTTTGTATCAGAAAGAATCTTTAACACGCCAAGCATAGTGCGGTTAAATACTACGTTTTGTGTGAATATATATAGCGCAGTTAAATACTACGTTTTGTGTGTTGTCTTGACGATCTGAAAAGTTGCCCGACTACGAAAAAGTTGTTTCGTATCAGAAAGAATTTTTAACACACCAAGCATGGCACGGTTAAATACTACGTTTTGTGTGAATATATATAGCACGGTTAAATACTACATTTTGTGTGTCGCCTTTTCTATAAGTAACGGGCGCATTCTAGTTATTTTATGCACTTAACCATAACAAATAGCAAAACTTTCCATAAAAGCAGGGTTTTTTTTCGCTTTAACAAATGTCTGACCGCATGTATGTACCAATGTGCCAATGTGGCAAACGCTGTATGATGGCGGACTGTTGGGATGACGATCAAGTTGGGCACAGATACTGGATGTGTATGAACATGTTTGGAGGCAACAACGGAAATTTTTGTAATTTTGAGGTATGGCTTGATGAACCCTATCAACAGGAATGCTACAAACGATCTTTGCAGTATCTTCATGATTTGACCAAAAAATAGTGGGAATATGAACGAGAATACAAACGAGAAATTGCGGAGTTGAAGGAGAAACTCAAAGAGGTGGAAGAAGAAAAAAATAAGCTGGAAGAGAAATTTAAGTGGTTGGAGCAGAGAATACTAGGCGGTCGTGACTAAATAATGACATGTATGTGTTGAGTGTAGTAGTTTATCTTTATGTTTCCCGTGTCATGTGTTTTCATTAGTTGTACTGAATTTAAATTATGTTAAGTTTCTATATTTGTGATTGTGTTGTAGTGTTAAAATAAAGAAGAAACGGGGAAATAAAAACATAATGCGCATA